GTATTGGTTTAGGTAAAACCAATTGAGGCCCTTGGGAATAAGCAAGGTGAGCCTCTACATTGCATGTAAGAGAGGCCAGAGGAAAAACAGGTGCAATTGCATTGATTGCATATCTGCATATAAACCAAGACTGTAACACTGCAACAGGAGCTTTAGGCTCTGTTGTATTGGTTTAGGTAAAACCAATTGAGGCCCTTGGGAATAAGCAAGGTGGGCCTCTACATTGCATGTAAGAGAGGGCAGAGGAAAAACAGGTGCAATTGCATTGATTGCATATCTGCATATAAACCAAGACTGTAACACTGCAACAGGAGCTTTAGGCTCTGTGTGCAATATCTTTCCAATGATATCCCAGTCTTTTAATGCCAAAGATCCATTTTCTGGATACCAAGAGCATTGGCTTTGAATCTCAAAAAGCATTTGAGTGAGGGTCTCAGAAGAAACTGGCCTGCCAGCTTTCTGGGTAATAATCTGAAGTTCCTTTAAATGTTCCTGCATGGGTAATTCTAGTTTAGCACCCATCTCACCAATGAGGGGTCGCGAGAATCACGACGAGGAAGTACTTCTTGAGGCCTTTGCCAGGCGTTGATGAGATTGATCCGTAGATAAGCCCCTCGTTAGGGCGCCACTTGCGGTGCTGCTCGTTAGGGTGTGGGGTGCAGGCGACACAAAGACGACAGGAGACAAGCTTGCAGGAACTGTCAGGAACTGACTGACTGAAACCTCTCGGCTTCAAGCTTTTATTTTATACACATTTTTCCCCCCTTCAAGCATTAGAGCATCCTTAAGGAATGTTTGTGTGTGTGTGTGTGTGTGTGTTCTCGTTCTCTCAGGCAAGCTCTCTGTTATCTGCCTTTCTCAAGGCTAACTCACTGCGTAGTTAGCAGTAAACAGATTCCATCTCGGCCTCTCATGACGTATAAGTATTTCAGCTCCCAACCTCCAGCCAGGAGATTTCCGCACTGCTTTCCTACAGGTTCCTGAGCAGAATTAATTTTTTTCTTTTCATTTTTGCAATACGTGTACTACAGAAGAGCTAAAAATGAATGAGTCCAGGTGATGTCTCATTCTTCTATAGAACCTTCTACGAGATGGTGGGGGGGTAGAAGGAGTTGGTTTCATGCAGTCACTGGCAATCTTCCCTCTGAGCTGTAGAGTGTTGTGAGCAAAAATTTTACTTTGTGTACTACTAGCATTAAAGTTCTGAGTGAGCCTACATTTGACTATCGCATAAACTAGTTTTTTTAGAAGATTGTTACCACAACCTTGTGAAAATCTCAGAATGAATTCTTTTAAACTATATTTTAAGAATGATCTAAACATTCTAAGTCAAAACAGAATCTTTTTTTTCCCCGTGAATTCACCAAGGCTAACAAAGAAGGGAAAGTGTCTTTAAAGCTTCTGGCTTAGCAATTGTGTATGTGCTTGCATTTTTATAGCACACAGGGATTCAAACTGATTTGTTCCAGGGGACAAAATAAGGAAGTCTCTATGCACTCACATGACCCAGTTTCCTAAATCTATTGATATCACATCCAAAACTGAAGCATTTTTAATCTCCCTAAAGAACTTTTTTTTTAGTAAAATGGACTTGTGTTTACTTGTATTAATTACATGAAATCTAACTTTGGAAATGAACAAGGATAACACTAAAGTACTAGAGAAATAAGAAAAAAAAGTATAATTTTTTAATTCAATACCAACTTGCTCATTTTTGAACCACACTGACTTAAATCAGATACATGTTTATAAGTACATGACTGACACACTCAGCCCTACAGTACTGTAGATTACAGGATTTCTTAAAGGCTGGCTAACAAAAATGCAGTGGAAACCCAAAACGGGAAAAGTAAAAACATCCTCCCCTGTCTTTTTAATTATCCTTTTTCAAAGAAGATTTCTTCCACCACCCCCCAAATAAAAATACCGGAGTGCAGTTCCCCTGAATGCAATGAGAGCCAGCTGGGTGACCTTGGGTCAGTCACAGTTCTCTCGAAGCTGTTCTCTCAAGAGCAGTTCTCTCAGAGATCTCTCAGCCCCACCCACCTCACAGGGTGTCTGTTGAGGGGAGAGGAAGCTAAGGAGACTGTAAGCCGCTCTGAGCGAAGGGCAGGGTATAAATCCAAAACCACCACCACCACCACCACCTATTCCACCACCACCTCTTCCTTCTCCTCCTCCTCCTCTTTTTGCCTTCAAAGGGTTCCCCAGCAGCTGCACCTCCACTAAATGAAAGTGTAATTTGTCATCCCCCCCCAACCTGCTGAGAAGTCACTGCTTGGCATCAAGCTACCCATTTATGCTATTCATTCTAATACAGGGTGGACCCTTGTCAGGCTTTGGTAGCATTTCAAAGCATGGCTTTATGGAACAGGCACACACACACATGCTCACTACGCAGCGAAAACAAAACAATGAATCCCAAACACAAACAGTTTGCAAGCCCATACCACCTCTGAAGCAAATACCTTTCTTCCCTTCCTGCCGGGGCTTTGGCAGGTGTACTAGCAAAGATCTGAAGTGCTAAAGGGTCGGAGCTGGGGTGTTTGGAATCAGCTGGAAAGCACAGGCGCCAGTATGCTCGGCACCAGTATGCTCAGTACCTCCAGCCTGCCACACACAGCCAGCAGCAAGCAAGGGACAAAGAGGCACTTTCAAGAACACACATGGAAGAGGGACCACTAGGCGGGAGGGCAGCCCCTGTGACTGATGCTGCAAGAGAGGGGGAGGGGCACACGCCTCAGGCTGAGGTCACACACACTAAATAATCCACTTTCAATCCACTTTCAGAGCACTTTCAAACTGGATTTTGCCAGTTCACACAGTAAAATCCAGTTGGAAAGTGGATTGGAAGTGGATTATTTGGTGTATGTGATCGCAGCCTCAGTCTCCCTCTGAAAAGGCTCCCGCAAAGCTGATTAATAATACACGAAAGAGGCAGTGCCAAGATTAAAAGGCGCATGCCTGGGTGGGAAAGAGACTTCTCTCCCTCATGCTCGCTCTTTCACACACACACACCAGGAAGAGCCACATGGCTCCTTACCTGCTTGCTCCCCCCCCCCCCAGCAGCTTTCGTTGCCATGTGCTGAGTCAAAAATCTCTGCTCTGAGGGCTAAAAATTTGTGTGCCAGTGCACATTACTGCAGTTTAGTGGGAACACTGCCTAGAACTTCTTAAGTACATGCCCCTATCTGAGTCAGCAAACAAGCAAGGAGAAGGACCCCAATAATAGCATCGACCAAACATACAAAAGCAACCTTGAAGAATGTAAACAAAACCTGTTTTTTTGCAAAAATATTTATAGTGATACAAGATGAGCTATCATGCAAAGCACAAATAAAGTACAACGTGCACAATTATATTTAAAAACATACAATTACAAGCGGGCCTGTAAGCTGAAATACAAAATGCTGCTGAGATACAAAATGTTTGGTGTCTTTAACAAAAGACTGAATTTTAGGCCACAAATGGTTTGAGAAAGGAATCCACGTATTGCAACAAGGGTTGCAAAATAGAGTTGTTAGTACCAGAAACAATAGGCTGTCCCAAAGGGGGGCAATTGGGCTTGTGATAAATATATAATCCCTTCCCCCCTTCTCTTTAACATCCAGGCTGAAAAAGAGTTTTGATAAACTCTAAAGCTTGCTAGCTATTTGGCGACGCTTCCATATTGCCCTCCTGTTGCTTTGGGGACAGTAGATCCAGTTGGTCAGCCGTGTTGGTCAGAAGCAGTACAACAAATGTAGCGTCCAGTGGCACCTTTAAGACCAACAAAGGTTTATTCAAGGTAGGCTAAGCTTTCGTGTGCAGGCACACTTTATCAACTACACTCTTGTGGCTATTAGCCACTGATGGACCCCTGCTTGCACTGCGTGAAGACACAGTCCTTCTCCCCCCCCATGCATTTTCCACACACACATTCTCTTTCTCTATACAAGATTACTCTCTCACCAACAGGTCATGGCTCAGTGGTACAGCATCTGCTTGGCACGCAGAAAGTCTCAGGTTCAATCCCCAGCATCACCAGTTAAAAAGACCAGATAATAGGTGATGTCCAAGACCTCTGCCATGAGGCCTCCAAGAAGAGATAATGCATGAGGCCTCCAAGATCATAAAGCTTAGGAAGTTGTAGAAGGGCTTCTTTAGTATTGATTTTGGTGTCTCAGGGATGCAAGGTGAGTTCTGTTCCGTCCCACACTCGGAACCAGGGGTATATCTTTTCCCCAGAAAAAGCAGCTGAAGAGAAAGTATAGATTGACTTCTTGGTTTCAGGATTGAAAAATTCTACTTGTCTTTGAGTGTAGTCCAGAGAGACACGTATTCTGCGGGGCTTCTTGTCAAAGAATAGTTGTGTAGGCTGAGGAGAAGTGAAAGCCCGATAGTTGCCGACCCCCCAGTACTCCCCGATGGCCCAGATCCCCTCAGCGGGGCTAAAATCTGGTAATCCTTTTCTCTTCAGAGACTCCTTGGCAACCCCTACAGCCCATTCGCCATCCCCCTTCACTTCAACTTCCCAGCAGTGTTTCCCGGAGAGGAATCCTTCACGGCCCAGCACCCAAACACGCTGATCAAATCTCTCTGTATTGTTGGGAAGGCTCATCTCTTCCTTTCCCCAGGTCACGGTTTTCAGATCTGTGGACAGGACGAGTCGGCGGTGGGCAGTGGCTGGATTCAGAGTCACATAGGCTACGGGGAAAGAGAAAATCAGAGCATTTGGCATTAAATGTAGTTCAGGGTGAATTGGCTCTAGGGTTAGCATGTCCAGACTGAGAAGTGGTACGCATAAGGCCCCAGAAGAAGATAACAAAGAAGATGGTTTTCATCCCCTGCTTTACTGTACCCTAAGGAGTTTCAAAGTAGTTTACAATCACCTTTCTGTTCCTCTCCCCACAACAGGCACCTTGTGAGGTAGATGGGGCAGAAAGAGTTCTGAGAGAACTGGGACAGGCCCAAGGTCACCCAGCAGTCTTCATGTGGAGGAGGAGTGGGGAATCAAACCCGGTTCTCCAAATCTCCGGGCGAATTTATGCACTTGCTAACTTCTAATGAGGTAAAGGCAAAAGGCTTCCCTTGCTCGGAAGCCAGTCGAATCTGACTCTAGTGGGCGGTGCTAATCTCTGTTTCCAAGCCAAAGAGCCCACGGTGTCCAAAGACTTTTCCCGTGGTCATGTGACTGGCATGACTAGATGCAGAGGCGCACGGAACACTGTTACCCTCCCACTGAAGCCGTACCTTTTTATCTACTTGCGATTTCTTGGTTTCGAACTGCTAGATAGGCAGGAGCTGGGGGCCAGAGATGGGAGCTCACTCTGTCAAGCGGCACTAGGGTCTCGAACTGCCGAGTTACAGACCTTCCGGTCTGCAGCTTGGTGTCTTAACCTCTGAGCCACTGCGGCTCCAACTTCTATTGAACACCTCCTTAAATACAAAGGAATATTCTTAAGCAGCCTGGTCCATTGTAGGGTAGCTAGCTCTGGGTTCAGATTTGAGGGTGGATTGTTTAATGCTATATTTAAACTCTGTGATTAGCCTCTTCTGATTGCGAACTGCGTTACAACTACCGCTGTGAAATCACAAAATTATTGATACTAGCACTTTATTATATTTATGGTTTGTTTAATTGTTATATGTTGTTCCTAATCTAATCGATCAATCAATCAAGTGCCATGAGGAACCAGAGTATAAATGAGAGTTGAAATCACCTGTTGAGCTGCCCGAAGCCCAGCCACATGAATTGGGAGGGTTTCCTTGACAAGAACAGTCTTGGGAGTCTCTCACCTGGAAAACTTTTTTGAGGGGGAAAAACAACTTAGGGTTAGGGAAGGAAAATTACAGTACCATCCAGATAACTTTTTTTGGGGGGAGGGGACAACTCAGGGTTAGGGAAGGGAAATTACACAACCATCCAGAGAAGAAGAGATTGGATTTATACCCTGTCCTTCACTACCCAAAGGTGTCTCAGAGCAGTTTACAAACTCCTTTCCCTTCCTCTCCCCACAACAGACACCCTGTGAGGTAGGTGGGGATGAGAGAGCTCTTGACAGAAACTGCTCTTTTTCAAGAACAGCTCTTATCAGAATTACAAGTGGAGGAGTGGGGAATCAAACCCAGTTCTCCCAGATTAGAGTCCGCGCACTTAACCACTACACCAAACTGGCTCTCTACTCCGTCCCTCTCCTCCCTGCTGTGGGCCAAGTGAGAACCTTAATTGCTCCATTGATTGGAAGGAGAGAATGGGCCATAGGAGAGGAGGAAGGAAACAAAATTCATTTAATTCATTTCCTCTTTCACTATATAAGAAGAGAAGAAGAAGAGATTGGATTTATACCCCACCCTTCACTACCCAAGGGAGTCTCAGAGTGGCTTACAAACTCCTTTCCTTTCCCCTCCCCACAACAGACGCCTTGTGAGGTAGGTGGGGCTGAGAGAGTTCTGACAGAAACTGCTCTTTTTTTCAAGAACAGCTCTTATCAGAACCACGGCTTGCCCAAGGTCCTCCAGCAGGTGCAAGTGGAGGAGTGGGGAATCAAACCCGGTTCTCCCAGATTAGAGTCCATGCACTTAACCACTACACCAGACTGGCTCTCCATTCCACTCCCCAAAGATGTGGGCTGTGGATTACAAGCGACTGACCAAGAAAGTCCTTACCAAACATGCACAGCTTCAAAAAAATAACAATGGAAGAACACTTCAGTCTGCCAAGATACTCTGCTGATAAGGTTGCCAACTGCCTGGAGAAAAACAGTGCCCTGTCTGACCTGCAAAACTCTCTGGGGCCTCAGGCAGAGAAAGTTTTCTTCCAGCACCTGCTTAGGGTTGAAAGCTCCAGATCTGGAAATACCTGGACATTTGAGGGTAGAACGTGGGAGAGTGGGCTTTGGGGAGGGTAGGGACCTCATGACAGTATAATGCCATGCGGTCCACCTTCCAAAGCAGCCATTTTCTCCAGGAGAAGTGACATAAATGTTTTAAATAAATAGAGTGACTCGTAGTCTGGAGATCAGTTGTGATTCCAGGGATATCCATCCCCCAGCTGGAGGTTGGCAACCCTACATGAACTGCTACCTGAGGCATTTGAGATGCCGGTGCTTGAATGGGGAATCTTCTGCCTGTAAAGCAGATGATCTGCCACAGCTTCTTTTGAGGGCTTTTTCTTTCTTTCCATGTACAAATATTTTTCTGCAGACTGAGCTTTTCCCTTCATGCAGCTGAAGAAGTTGGCTCTTTCCCCAAGAAAGTTTATAATCTGCTAGTCTTTATGGTGTCACGAGAGACTCCTTTTGATTTTTGCTGTAGCGGATAGACACAAGACTACCGCACTGGGATCTGGCAACTCTTGTCACATCTGTGTTGACCCACAAAAGCTGTGTGCCTTTAACTATTTAACGCCATCCAGAAAAATCAACAGGTGACGCTCCCTTCAGGCATGGAGGGAAAAGCTAAACCTGTTGGGCCTGCAATTACTCCAATCCTCAGTACCTTTACAAAGATTAAAGGACTGGCCCTTGAGTTGCCAGAAAGGCTCTCAGCACTGATGTACAGCTCAGAAACAGCATTAAAAATTCGTATGTGAGGGCTCTTCTGCATTGTCATTTTTGTCACTTCTTTATCCCTATTGCTTCAGGGTCCCCCCCCCATGGGATTTGCTCTCTTTAGTAGTCCCAGAGGGTGCAAAAGACATGTGGAAAAGGCAGGAGGGCCAAAGCATTAGGGACAAATAAGTGACAAAAATGACAGTGCAGAAGAGAGTCAAATATAATGGGCAGTCAAAGAAAATTCCTTGAAATAATAAAAAAATGTATTGGCAATAGAACTATGGAGGGAGACAGTGAGCAGTTCTCCACAGGCAGGGCTATTTTTGGGCAGGAACGGAGTTCCGGCTGGCTCCCGAGTTGGCCACGCCCAGCAGGAACTCATTAGCATAATAGGCCACACCCAACAGCAGAAACTCATTAGGATTGGCTACCATTAGGGGTGTGTGACCTAACATGCAAAGGAGTTCCTGCTACAAAAAAAGCCCTGGGTTTTGACAACAAACAAGGTAAAGAGAATAAGAAGCAATAGGTGGGTGTGGCTGGATGACCACACTTCTGGTAACATGGGGGTGTGGCTTAATATTCAAATGAGCTGTGCTGTCAGGGTGTGGCCTAATATGCTAATGATTTCCTGCTGTTGGGTATGGCCTATTATGCTAATGAGTTCCTTCTACAAAAAAAGCCCTGTACCACAGGAATGAAATAAGTGCTGACCAGAGCAAATGGTTTCATTTTGGCAGACACCAGCAAGATCTGGTGTTATTTTCACCTGCTAGTCAGTTAAAGGTACATGAGGTTCTTATGTTCTTATAGCAAGTAATACGATGCTGGAAACTCCTGTGTGGGCTGAATGGCAACATAAATCTCAGAGAAGTTAAACGAGATAGTGAAACATTTAGAAGAGATGCCAGCTGTTAATTAACTTTCACTTAAAAAAAATAACCATGTCTGAGCAACCACAGATGTACTTTTCTCCAGAGCTCTTCAGGACAACATAAAACAGCCTATTCATTCTATCACTCACATTTTACAGCAGTCCCATAAAAGTGAGTTGTTCAGGGTTTTCTGCTGCCACCTGGTCTGGCTTCTGTGCCTTCAACTTCCATATAACATATTTATCATAGAATGATAGAATCACAGAGTTGGAAGGGGCCAAACAGGCCATCTAGTCCAACCCCCTGCTCAGTGCAGGATCAGCCTAGACTAGCATCCCTGACAAGTGTTTGTCCAGCCGCTGCTTGAAGACTGCCAGTGAGGGGGAGCTCACCACCTCCCAAGGCAGCTGATTCCACTGTTGCACAACTCTGACTGTAAAAAAGTTTTCCCTAATATCCAGCCGGTACCTTCCCGCCTTAATCTAAACCCATGATTTCGAGTCCTCTCCTCTGTTGCCAACAGGAACAGCTCCCTGCCCTCCTCTAAGTGACAGCCCTTCAAATACTTCAAGAGAACAATCATGTCTCCCCTTAACCTCCTCTCCTTTGGACCCAACATTCCCAAGTCCCTCAGCCTTTCCTCGTAGGGCTTGGTCTCTAGGCCCCCGATTATCCTCATCGCTCTCCTCTGCACCCGCTCTATTCTGTCCACATCCTTTTAGAAGTGAGGCCTCCAGAACTGCACACAATACTCCAGGTGCAGCCTGACCAATGCAGTGTACAGCAGGACCATCACATCTTGCGATTTGGATATTATCCTACACTTCCTTTAAAGAGACAGTGTCGACGGTTTTCCCTCCCTCGTTTTATTTTCACAAGAATCCTGTGAGGGAGGTTGGACTGAGACAGAGATTGTCCCAAGATCACCCAGTAAGCTTCATGGCCTAACTGCGTATTTAAACTCAGGTCTCCCTGGCTCTAATGTGATGCTGTAGCCAGTACATCACACTGGCTCTTCCAAGAACACAGCAGAAGGATTAAAGGGATGGGCAAAACTTGGCAAAACTCTGTTTTCATAATTAAGAGTCTAACAGACACCTACGTATAAGAAGAGTGATCAGGGTCGCGTTCAGAACAATGCTCAGCGTCAGAGAAGCCCCTAATGTGATTTTCCAGCACTGGCATTTGGTGGTGGAATCTGTGGAATTAAGATTAATCATGAAAAAGCATGAACTTTATTTGGAGATGACAGAAACAACAAGGGTGAGTAATGTGGTAAACGATCATGGTCACTTGTTCAGACTGCTTCCTTATTCTGTGGGTAAAAAGGGACCCATCCAGATTAACATGCTATGTCCCAGTTGCAGCAAATCCCAACAGTAGAAGACAAATGCTATATAAATATGGGCAACACTAGCACTGCACTACCTCAGCTTTGGTACGAAAGAAGTGATAAAAATGAGATAAGTAAAAAAAGATTGCCCTAACCTGGATGGCTCTGGCCAGCCAGATCTTGTCAGATCTTGCAAACTAAGCAGGGTTGGCCCTGTTTAGTACCTGAATGGGAGGCCATCAAAGACCAGGGCAGAGGCAGGCAATAGCAAACCACCTCGATTTGTCTCTTGCCTTAAAACTCTTATGGGGTTACCATAAGTCAGTGTGACTTGTGACTTGACGGTACTTCTTGGTACCAAAATAAGAAGAAGAAGTGGGGACCCGCAAGAAACTTGCGGAGACAGTGAATCCTCCCTCCTTCTTTGCTTCCATCTCTCTTTCTCTTTATCAATCTTCCCCCTCTTTCTACCCTTTCCCTTATCTGTCTACCTACCCCCATCTCTTTTGTCCCTATCCCTTCTCTGATAACCTACCTCCCATTTCCCCCCTTTCTCCCATTTCCCTTATCTGTCAATTTACCCCTCAACCCCCCCATTTTCTCCATCAGTCTACCCAACCCTTGCTGCTCTCCCCACCTACAACCTACCACCCAGCTTTGCAGATCTCCCCACCTACCCCCACACCCTCAGCACTCCACTCACCTCCACCCTTGCTGATCTCCCACCTACTCACCAGCCTTGACAGTCCACTCACCCACCACTCTTGTTGATATCTCTATCTACCCTGCCACACCATTGGCATTCAGTTACCACTCAACCCTTGCTCTCTTCCCACCTACCTCTTCCCACCCATCCTTGGCACTCAACTATCCCCACCCTTGGCATTCACTCACCCCAAACCCTTGCTCTCTTCTCACCTACCCCCACCCTTGCTGTCTCCCCCCCCCCCGCGTTCACTATTTTTTCAACTATTTACTTTAGTTGTGGGGAAATTTAAACATTTCAGATTTTTCTGCATTCCTGTAGAGTTCCCCAAGTGTGCAGAAAAATCTCTTTACCCTCCATGTGCCCCCTATCTGTGGAAATAAGTATCCACACATATGGGGCACAGTTGGGAATTAGATATATAGATAATAACAACAACAATAATAACTGTCCTGCTCTGGCACTGCACTTGCTAGCCAACTGAAGCCATAGTGGCTCTCATAGAACAATACCTTGCATCTTTTGTGAGGTGGGCTGCATGTAAGCATCCCTTTGTGCTAGGTCGATAGCCATATATCCTTCTTCATCCTCCATTACCCTTCTGAGGTGTTGTTTTGCACAGAAATCAGAGAGGAGCTAGTGGAGTCACAGACTATTCCTGAAAGTCAGGCTGTCTGGCTTTGGAAGGGGAACTTCAGTTCCTTTGAATAGTCAAACCATGGATGACGCAAATTGTGAGGCGAGAGCAATACCTCCTACTCATGCTTGGTGACTCAGGGCAGAGATATGGCCAAGCACACCCAACCAGGTTATGTAACTGGTGGTAAGAGTGAATGTTGAAGTGTGTGTCCTTCCTCTTCTCCTAGGTCTGTGACACAAGACCCTCATGATACATTTCTCAATGAAACTATGCTTCCTTTCCTGCT